TACCTTCTGCACAAAGCAGATGCTAAGCAAACATTTTGAGCCAGTGTTTAAAAACTCAAGTTCTGCAGTCTGATTTGGTCTAGCTCCTGTTTCCATCTTTGTATGTGACTTGGGGAAGTTATGTTTTGAAGTTTTGGCTTCCTCATCTGTAGAATAGGGACAATAATAGTATCTATTTTATAAGGTCACTTAAAGCAGTGTGTAGAAAGTATTTAGTATGGTACTTAGAACATTTTAAGTGCTTGATAAAAGTTAGCTATTTTTCTTATTTATTTACACTCTAAGTTCCTTAAGGATAGGGTAGGCCCTATAAGAATGTTAATTTCATTGTATATATTTAATAAGTGTTTGCAGGAATGCAGAGAATATGTAACTACTGGGTTATATTCATATTTTTCAGGTTGGAATAGCAACATGCCAAATTGCGAGAGCTTATGGCTTAAAGGTTTTGGGTACAGCTAGTACTGAAGAGGGACAAAAGATTGTTTTGCAAAATGGAGCCCATGAAGTGTTTAACCACAAAGAAGTTAATTATGTTGATAAAATTAAGGTAAAGTTTTCAACAATTTTACTAAAGTCAAACTTTGTTTCTTGGAGATTTACATGATTTTTTATAAGTTCTTTTACCAACTACTCTCTTAATGTTGTTTGCTTCCTTTTTTTAAATGCCTGTATATATTTTTATGTCTATGTGTGTTTAAAAGTTTTAATTCATTTAAAAAGCAGAGATGTCTAATTTTTAAACCTTCACTATCATTTCTTTGTGTGTATTAAATAAAATATAGCCTCTCCAGAGTCTTATAGCTATAAAAATTGGTGATTTTTAATACCAGTCACATTTTAGGTAAACCTACAGCTTTGCATTTATAGCCATGAGGTATTCTTAATATAATTTCTACTGATGTGAACTTTCCATGGAAGGTGAGGTATCCACAGATTACAATTGGATCTGTTTAGCCCAAGGAATAAAGTTTATTTGTTAATTATATCCATAGGTGAGGTGGTATTTTAAGTTGTTTGCATCATAATAGAATTTCAAGCGATCGCAAGTTCCCATTTGGTACTATAGAAGCAGATTTATTAAACATGAGATTGCGTTTGCTAAATCTTAAACCACTTCCTCTCACAGAATTAGAGTTATTACAACCAGGTACTATGTAAACTAGGTCATTACCTAAATAAACTAGGTCATTTTCCCTAGAGGAAAAATACGAAGTGAGCCAATTTATTACCAATTAAAATCGTCTTGGCCAAAAAACTAAAGGAAAGTATTGGTATATGTCCAGGGAACTCTCAGACACATAACGCACCCTCATACTATTATCCAGGAATATTACCAAAGATGAAAAATTTGCAAAATTAAGTTTAGAGTATTGGTTTTTGTTTACCCACAGTCCTAATATGAAGGCCTTGAGATCTTGTAGCTTCCGTTCCTTTCCCTGACCCTTCCTTGCTTAGTTTCCCCATTACTCCAGGGAAACATTCCGTTAACACTTTAGCCTCATCGCCTTTTCTCTCCCCTCCTGTTTACCACCAGAAGCTTCTTGAAAAAGACTGAGTACTCGTACGCTTTTCCTTCCTTACCCCCCACTGCAGTTGGTGCCTTACATCCCGCCTACCTAAACTGCTTCTCAGAGTCCACTCACATTACCAGCTTCCTATACCCTGTCAGTCCTGCATCTTCTCTCCGTCCTCATCCCTCATCGATTCTTCAGGAGCGTGTGACCTCTACCACATCCCCTTGAAACTTGTTCTCTCTCACATCCCGACTGTTCACTGCAGTCTCCTTCCCTCCTCCACTATTGCTTTAACATAATGACGTACATTCTCCCCCAATGGTCGTTCATCACACAACACATGGTGCCTAGACTCCCTCCTGGTCAGTAATCAAACACACACACACACACACAACATATAACCTTGTGTCTATTGATTTCCAACACTGTCGTACCTCAAATTCACACACACACACAAGAGACATTGCCAACTCAACTTTCACCTACAAACAGAACCCTCATTGTCATTTGTTAAATCCTGTCCTTTTCACACCCCCATTGCGTCTTGCCACCAGCATGTCTTGGTCACCCCACCTCTATCAGTTGCCAGCTGTAACATACCTGTCCAATATGCACTCTTTTTCTCATTCCCTCCACCCAACACATGACTGGAAATTCCTGAGTTTCTCCCACCTAACAATCTATTGATAACCTGGATCCAACTATCGCCTTTCTATCTTTTCTACTGTGTGCAGAGTTATTTGGTCCCCCACCAGTACCACGCGTTAAAAAAGAAAAAAATCTCGCGACAGTGATTAAATGAAAGGCTCGGTGAGGTAGGAGGAATTTTTGCGCTGTTTTTACTCACTACGCCACTGGCAGTACCGTAAAACAGTGGCCTGCGCACACAAGAATTAACAACTGCCACAAAAAAAAAAAAAAAAAAAGGGTCCCAAATCCTTTAATGTTAACATTCACTGTATTGTTCACAATCTGTCACCAGTCACATATCTCCTTTCACCAAACCCCTTCCCCTCCACTCCAGCTCTTGCCTCCACGTTCTACGTCTCGGCGCGTTCTCCGCATCCCTGACGATATTCGCTTTCTGTTTCTTTGGTCCAGACTGACTCTGCCTTATGTCTCGCTTCCCCTTGCTCATCTTCCTTTCTTTTTGCTTAGGAAACCATTAATCATCCCTTAGGGCCCAGGTTATCACCTCTGTAGAACTTTCTCTGACCAGTGCTGGCAATCAGACTTTAACTTTTTTTTCCTAGATGGTTTATTTCTGTTAATGCACTTAGCCCACTACATTATAGCTATGACTGTAGTATCTTCCATCTTTCTCCCTAGCTTTGTTTTGATTCCAGTGTCCATCTTGCATTCCCAGTACCTAGCACAATCCCTGGCACAGGTGTTCATTTTTCTGGTTAAAATAAAATGAATATAATGTAGATTCATTTTTATATATGTCTTTCTTAAGAGCAAGTTTTAGATGTTGGGAACCAATGTCCAAGAGCCTAAAAGAAAAGAACTGGTGTGTCAGGCAGATTGTAAACCATTTAGAACAAAACTTAATCCCCCCACCCCAAAATAACCCCTGCCAAACCAAACAGCAATGATTTTTTTTTTTTAATTTTTATTTCAAAATGTTAAGGGGGTACAAGTGTTTCTGTTACATGGATGGATTGTATAATGCTTTCTTTTGCTTTTTGTTTTTTTAATAAAAATGGGAGCCCCCTGGGAGTTTTGGATTTTCGATTTGTTGTTTGTTTCTTTATGAAGGTTCATTTTGAAGATAGAAAATTTTCAGCTAAAGGAAAAATATTTTATACTCTGTTGAGTCTAGCACCTGAAAATTCCAAACAAGTTTTATTTCATTACAACAATTTATTTAGGACAAATATTTATCATTTTAGATGTTATGGCTGGTATCTTAGAATTACATCACCATTATATAATTAGGTGATTTTAAAATTTGTATTGTTAATCTTAAAAATGTAGCATTTTATATGTCATTTAAAACACATTTCTGTAATATGTGGTACATATAAGAGCTATTTTATAGTTTTTTACTTGTTGTCTTACTCTACATTCTCTTTTATTATGTAGAAATCTGTTGGTGAGAACGGAATTGATGTGATTATTGAAATGTTAGCTAACGTAAATCTTAACAAGGATTTGAATCTTCTGTCATATGGAGGACGAGTAATAGTAAGTATTTTTTTCTTTTTTTTTTTTTTTTTTACTTCTTTAAAGTTTTATCACAATTTAACACTGTTTTGCAGCAATCTTTAACTGTAGCCCTAGTGTTGTTTTTCATAATAGGTTGTTGGCAACAGAGGAACTATTGAAATAAACCCACGGGACACCATGGTAAAGGAGTGAGCAGTATAATTGGAGTTACTTTGTTTGCCAAACCAAGGTAAGGTGACGTAGACGATACAATGTCCTGGGTGTTGCGCACCCGCGGGCGTGGGCGGCCGCGCGACCGGCGTTGCGGATGACGACTTAAAACACTGTAGGCTGAGCCAAGCTTAAGGACATGTGTGTGAGCGGAAGGCGGGTTGGGCTGAAAGGAGTGCTGCGGCATATGTAGATGTGAAACTGTAGTTATATGACTACGGAGCGACCTTGGAATTCCCCCAGGTAAGGCCGTTAGAGTACGCACGCGACGCGCCAAGGATCACTCACTGTACGAAGCATGGACAGCCCTACTTCCATTTGTCTTCTGTCCCGCTCGCGGAACCCATCCATTGTGGATGAAGCACAGGTTCGCTCGATACCTTTATCTTCTTGCCATACGTCTATATTTGTGCTGTGAGTAGGATACATACCCGCTCTCTCGTAATCTCTACACCTAGGTCCACCATTGGTCGTCCTTCGGCGACAGTAATTATTCGCATTTTATCGCGTTACCTGTATTGG